GCAGTGTCCTTACATATCTGTCTTATTTTTATCAAAGATTCTTCCTTGAATATAAATACAGTGGTCCAAACATAAAAAAAATAATAGATAATTTTGACCCCCCTTTTTTCTACATGTTGAAAAAGGAGAGTGATTTGGTAAAAACCATACTTTTATGTATAAACATGGATCAACAAGAGCAATTTATGTATCTCCCAGTTAGACAACTTGCTAAACTGGTTATAAAATGCATTTCAAGTGAGATTTGGGAAATCCTATATAAGTATACATCAATTTCATTTGAAATAAGTGATTCACTAAGAAACCCAATAAAACATGAACACTCACTAGATAATTTGACCAAAAGCAATATTTATACTATTAACTAGTCAAAATGTACATGTTTCATTGGTTTCAGTCTTAGGTAATGCAAAAATTCAAACATCAGGTAAAATCTTAACTGTGTGCATGCTAAATGATCAAAAAAGGCTGATATACCTTATTGTAGCAATTTGAGGGTTGTAATTTGACACCAACATAATTGTTACATAAAAAAAATAATGTAACATGATTACTGACAACAAATGTGACTAAATTTCATTGTAAAGGGTGTCATTTCTAAAAATAGAATTTCACATGCCTTTCAGTAATAGGTATAAAACCACTAATTCATAGCCCCATTGCTTTCTATGTTAAATTCTGCAATTTCAAGCATTAATGGCTAATTTGTCTTAAGTTCAAATAAAGTAGCAGTTATTTCATGTCAAAACTATACCTTATCCTGACTTGTGCTGAAAAATTCAACATACCTTTAATTGCATTTTAGAGCGTACTGGTTCCCGGAAGTTTGATAGTACAAAAACAGGTACTTCTGATCTGAACAACAGGGCAAATGTGCCCTCCTATTAAAATTGTATATACTTCTTTATTATTCAAAAGAAACTTTCAACACGGGTTCTACAGTGATCCCAAGTCCCCAAGCTTTCATTTGATACCAAAACTACCCAAATATTCCACCTATTGACAAAGATAAAGCTATGCGTAGGAACTATTTTGTTTAAAATATGTACTACTTTCTTGTATGTTCTTTCCGACCGGGCCTTAATTAGTGGTTCTATACCTTAAAGACCTTTTTGTGAACTTCATCTGTCATTAATGATATATTCAGAGAATAATTTTTTTTTACATCATTTAAAAATTCCATTTTTTGATTTATGTGTAACTCAGCATTTATTATACTGTGGTTTTTCCAACACCATTAAATATAATTTTGTAATAAATATGAGTAAAAGGATAGATATTTTGTTGATTACTAGGATCAAATATAGATTTCAGTGTAAAAAGTTGGGCCTCCAATTGTTAAATCATTAAACATAATGTTGATTATATCTATCCCAGGGAACTTCAAAGTACAAAGATATGTGGGTTTTTTTTACGGGGTGGGAACCAGAGAAGCAATTAGGTTGTTTGTTCTAAATCCCCTCATATAATACCCAGTTTCATTAATAACAATAAAAGAATTCTGCCTATCCTCTGGTGTGGAAATTGTATTACATTACATATATATCTACAAACTTACTCTATGACAGGAATTTCTTTTCTTGGCATCCATATATCTCCAGTCTCAACCTCTTCTTCCTAGAAAAGTAGGACCAACAATATATGAAACTGCTACATCGCGACTGCATTTGAAAGAAAATAGTTAATCAAAAGACCAAAATCATGATTTTTTTTTTATATAAATGCAACATTTAAATTAATCAATAACATACATCAATAAACACAATAAACCATATTTTTCTGGCATTATACAGATAAATTATAAACCACAGATAGAGAAAGTATGAACATTGTATAGAATTAAAGAAATTACAGGGAATTAAAAATGTATACATTGTGCAAACTTGTGTGTTTAGTTTGTTAAATTTTTTAACTTTATTATTTACACCAAAATGTTGTTACAGTGAAATTAGATACCCTGTTTTATCACGCTTTTCAATAATATCATGAACATATGGTCAACTCGCTGAAAGACCCCATCTATAATTCTGCAGTGACAATAATATCTTGGTGTAAATTAGATACATCCATTTGGGCTAATGCTGTATTTGAAATAATCACATGACCTGTGTTATAAATAGAAAAGGGTATTTCCAAACTATCTTTAAATTGTTATAAATAGAAAAGGGTATTTCCAAACAACCTTGACATTGTTATAAATAGAAAAGGGTATTTCTAAAGTACCTGTATTTTGAAGATTACAAGACAAAACAATATAGTTATTACAAAAGCTTGATGTGAGTATACACACCATTAAACTACAGAATAAAATTAAATACTAAATCGCATAGATGGTGATAGCTTGACCTAAAACAATCTATTTTAAGTTCAAGCAGTCTGCACCAAAATCTTTTCGAACTAATAGTCTATTACAAGACCAATATTTCGACATTTTTCTTATGTGTCTATACAAAGTTTGCAAATGCTTACTAGTCAAAATAAAATTTTCTATTTTGGTGCATCGGACTAATGGCTTAGGGTACAGACTGTTTAAACTTCCAAAGCTCAAGATTATATTTCTTTCAATAAATATCTGATATCAATAACATATACAACAAGAATGTGTCCATAGTACACGGATGCCCCACTCGCACTATCATTTTCTATGTTCAGGGGACCATGAAATTGGGGTCAAAACTCTAATTTGGCATAAAAATTAGAAAGATCATATCATAGGGAACAAGTTTCAAGTTGATTTGACTTCAACATCATCAAAAAATACCTTGACCAAAAACTTTAACCTGAAGCGGGACAGACGGACGGAAGAACGAACGAACAGACGGACGAATGGTAGGACGAATGGTAGGAGGGACGAACAGACCGAATAACATAATCCGCCAAGGTGGAGCATAAAAATATAATTAAATTATAACACTGCATATACTTTCTATCCTGGATGGGTAATTAAGCAACAATATTATTATGGTTTTCATAGAACAGGGATTTCACAAAAACAAGTCAACTAGGGAGCAACCATTTAACTTTAAGGGGGTTTATAGTTTTTTTGTCTGAGTCAGAAAATATTTTTCGAGCAAAGCGCAAACATTTTTTTTAGTTTTTCGACACTATCTATCAAAATATTTTTTTTCAAAATTTAACACTATAAGGTATGTGGAAAATTTGGATTCAGAATAATTTTTTTTGTCATCTGCTTGACCACAATATTTTTTTTCATCAAATTGGGGATCAGAATATTTTTTTAGGAAAAAACCATAGCCCCTCCTTGAAGTTAAATGGTCATTCCCTTAAGATTATATTAATTAATCTGCATGGACTTGATTAACATCTTTTTTACTGTGGTTATTATAGTGTAGGATTTCTCAAAAGTGCTAAAACTTTTCATTTTTATTAAGTTTTTTTTAGAATTTTATATATTCAATGGCTTCTGCAATCCATATATCTTTATGTACAAAATAAACACCCCATCTGCTAATTGGTAATGTCTATAACAATAATAATATGTCACACAAAGAAATCAGTTAACAGTGTCAAATGATAGGAGACCTATTGTTTAAGTCTAAAATTCACAAAAGACTTGTGAAAATGAAATTCTGTTGATTCATTTAATTTTGTTGGTATCAATTTTCATAGATATGAGAAAAATTAATTATTCTGAGGAAACTTAATCTTGTTGTTCATCACTTTCAGTTAAAAAAAGGGACCGTTTTTATTGATGCCCCTGACTACTTGATTAAAGGGGCATTAGCTTTATTATGACAAAAAATCAAAATACGATTTTCTTAGTTTCAAACATTTGTTAAAGCAGAATTGTGAAATAATATTTTGCTATTTTAAAACAGTCAGATTGATTCAACTTTGTCAAAAAAAAAACCAAAACATAGGTATTGTGTTATTGGCTTGCAAGATAATAATTCAACTCATTTCAATACATATTCATCCAACCTTCAATTTAACCCTCAGGGGGAGATGGGTTACACATGCATAAAGCATGTTCTGTTATTCAAAAGAAAAGAATACCAAAACTGGAAAGTGAAACTAAGGAGCCATGGAGAAGATTTGTTTCATTGACTGATTCTGCACACACAAAATCATTCATATTCGGTTAAAACAATTTAAGCAAAAACATGAAATAAAACAGACCTAGAAAAATTGCTGTTATAAGATTGCCTCAGCCTCTGTGTATTTATATTCATGTTTATGTTTATATTGAGTTCTATTACAACCTGCATTAATTGGATGCCATCTCAATGGTTAATTAGATGGTGTCTAGTCTAAAATACATATCAAAATCTGATCCATTATAACGAGTCCATACATTGTAAATTGTTTCTTTAACGTTTGGGGTTTTTGTAAGTTGGATATACATTTTAGTATGTAATAAATCAAATATGAGAATTTGAGTCAAATCAGTGAACATGAATTTGACAGCTAATGCACCTTTAAGGAATGGATTACATTTTTTTAATAGCTACCATTGGTAAAATTACATCATACCATTAGATTAGAACACTTTTGTTAAAAGATGCGCTGAATATTTACAGCAGCATTCCATTCTGCAGACATATAGTGTTACTTTCTAAAAGTTGCTTAATCTATTCTAATCTACTAGTCCCATCAATGTGTAGAGTAGAAAACTTCTGATTTCATTTACAAATAATCTGCTCTTTGGTCGGGTTGTTGTCTCTTTGACTAATTCCCGATTTCCATTCTCAATTTTATAATTCATGATAATGAACCCTGGCCAACAATATGTATTCCAGCACTTCCAGAAGTAAAAGTAATACATAAGTCTCATAAACATGATAAGATTTCCTACATCATATTTCTTTTGGTCTTTGGTTTTGGAATATAAGATACAGTTTAATTGACAGTAAACAGTTAAGACTACAGTAAATGTTCTACTTTTGCAACTTAAGTGAAAATACTAGAGTTTAGAGTTGTCTTGGTTATAGTAGTTTTACACTGGACATTATGTTTATTTGTTGTCTGTTACATTACAGGATGGACAGGGATGATAAACGACGATACTTTATAGTAGGGTCTGTTATAATGGAGGTTGTAACACCACTGTTTAGGACCAGACTTGAAAGAGACTACACCAGTAAAGGACTAACATCTCTACAGGCTTTCCTCAACACACAGCCAGTAATACACATTCTGTTTCATCTACATCATAAAATTTCAAAGTGCTGTGTCGGTGGACAAAACTGTAACAGGTATAAGCAACCATCCTTACCACTGATTAACTTTCAATGGAAACAGTTATACTCAGAGAAACCTGGCAATGCCAATCATAGTTGCCACTGCAAGTTCACAGCCAATCCTGTTCAACTAGAAGATCTTGATATCACCTTATCCAGCCTGATTTTGTTGAACTGCAATAATCTGACACCAGCTGATAATGATGCAGTAAAATGCTTACGACAATACAAGAATGACAACCTGAGTCATAACACCACAAGCAGAATATCACAGACAAAATACAACAGCTTATGGACAGATCTGACAAACTTTGTCCTACAACTAGATCCTAGTAAACAAGATGACTTGATGAGGATCGAGAGGAGACCATTGGATGAGGTTTTGTGTAACAGCTACACCCTTAATCTACTGGACTTTCATGAAAAGCTTGATGAGGTAACTTTAAAAAAAAATTGGGATAAATATATTAATAAAATTAATAAATTCATCTCATGATGCATTTACATGGTCATATAAACAGAAAAAGTGGAAGACAAACAAACAGCCTAACAAAATATCAGAGAGATAAACATTGTCATTTAATTAGGGCTGATACTTTCAATTTGTGAGGCAGGTACTTATATTTCTAATTTATGATACTAGTAGCTATTTTTATATGTAAGCATCTTAAGGCATTCAAAATTAATTGGTAGATTTTCATCCCCGCCCGCACCTCTGAAATCATCCCACCTCAATTTATTTTATTTTTAAAAATTAACAATTTCCAGATTTTGTTCTTTCCCGTTAACATTCGTTTCATACAAAATTTCCTATTGCAAAATATTGACATGGTTTTCGTATTACTTAGAGTAGTTTAACCAGAATAATTCAGTTGATCAACGATGGCTACACTACATTGCGAGTATGAGAGATTGATTACAGGAAGGGCTTGAAATATTCCAGGTTACATAGTAATTAGCGGTGTCAAACAAAACAAATCATGGTACGTACCAATTTCAGTGATTCTTTATAAAACAATGACTGTGTCAGGATTTTTTTTTACCATAAAGTGCATAAACCCCCATGAATGATATTATTAGCGCAAGAATCATGACACACATTTGTATTCAAAACATGACTGGAGTAAAGAAATCAAAGTGAAGCAATTACAAACTTGTGCAATGTATTACATTGTTGTTGATCGTATAAAAAGTAGGCCAACATATAACTAGATTAACTTCCAAACTATCCTTGTGGTATTGAACCTTGTGCTAAAATTTCATACAGATTCGTACACTTATACTCAATTTATTGTCTGCAAACCAATTTATTGTCTATGAACCAGTACAAATGCTTGTTTTTGGACTTTTTTGGCCCTTAATTACAAAACAGCTACGACATTACCCCCCAAAATCAATCCCAACCTTCCTATTGTGGTATGGAACCTTGTGCTAAAATTTCAGTTAGATCCATACACTTATACTCCAAGTTATTGTCTGTGAACCAAAATGTCTTCGGATGCCAAATTCGCCAATACAGATATCGCCATAACATAATATGAATGCAAAAATTTTTCCGGTTGTATATAATTTAAAAGTTTGATGAAACTCTACAGTATTAATTTTAGTTGGGCTTACAATGAAAAAAAATGAAACTGAAAATTGTGGGACAACCAATAAATTCATGACATTTAACATTACACTTGTTTTGTGACATATAACTTACTTTTTGATAAACTAATCTCTTATAATGAAACCTCATGCACCTGCATGAGCTGTTTATCATATGGATTACAACCTATTTCATTATGCAAGATGTCCCTCATCTGTATATGATGATGCAATGTCAAATAACAGGGATTCAGGACTCATATGACATGTTAAGTTATTTCATTTTGGGTAAAAAATATTGCTAAATGTATGAAAAATAAATTTTCTAAAGATGTAATATCAGGTAAATGAAGAGTAATTTTTTCTTCATCAATACATAAAATTGCTCAAATTAGACTGTTTAAAAGAAGCTGTATATATGTTTTGTTCGGTGTATATAAAACAATGGACCAAAGTGTAGACTTATTTTGCCACTTGAATGACAATTTTCAACATATCCTACAAGGGACTAATCTAAATCCAACAACATCACACGAATGACGAATGCCAAGTAATGAGAAAAGCTCACTCGGCCATTTGGGCCACTGTGTCGCACATATTTTATCTACAGTCCATGGTACAAAGGCAATAACTAACATGGCCTAAAAAAACAAAAACAAAATCTTAGAGAAATGAAGGCTTGAGAGAACATGCAATGCAATTTCCAATATAATTAATTTTTCAAAGGGGAATAACTCTTTTAAAAATAATTGATCGGCACTGATTTTCAAACTCCTCTAAGACATTGTTGATGTAAACCTATGATATAAGTTTCATAAAAATCTAGAAAGAATCGTACAAATGAGAGCGCTGAATGATGCAATTTTCCATATGATTAACGTTTCCAAGGGGCATAACTCTCTTAAAAATAATTGATCGGCACTGATTTTCGAACTCGTCCAAGATATTGCTGATATAAACCTACAATACAAGTTTCATTCAATTGGCAAGAATTGTACAAATGAGAGTGCTAATGATGCAAATTTCTATATAATTAATGTTTCCAAGTGGCATAACTCTTTAAAAAATAGTTCATCAGCACTAATTTTCATATTCATGAGAGACATTGCTCATATAAACCTACAATATAAGTTTCATAAAAATCTGGCAAGAATTGTACAAATGAGAGCGCTAACGATGCAATTTTCCATATAATTAATGTTTTCAAGGGGCTCCTTTAAAAATAGTTCTTCAGCACTGATTTTCAAACTCGTCAGCGACATTGCTGATGTAAATCGTTGATATAAGTTTTATAAAATCTGGCAAGAATTGTACACGTGAGAGTGCTAATCAAAACTGCACGGACAGACACATGGGCGGACAAACGGACACCCAGTATTTCTATGTCCCCTGCAACACATCACACAGGGGACAAAAAGAAATGGTATCAGCATACATACTCTATGTTTTTACTTTATTTTCAGATTGATACTTCAATTCAAGGTGTAAGATCTGATATACAAGGAAACAATGCTAACATGCAGGTAGACACATCATTACATTCGCTATATTTTTCTGACTGTATCTTGAAAAAAAATAATGTGATGTAGTATAAAAGATAGTCAAGGGTGTAACTTCAATAAGTTATAAGAGAAAAATAACATACATGTGTTATTGTGGGCTAAAAAATCAAAAAACTGTGATAACATATGTATGTTACATGTTTCAAAGGGGCAATATACATCCTTTATTTTGTTAAATTGTATACAAGTTCTAATGATATTATTATTGTCTTTATGTATACTAAACTTCAGAAAGATATAACAGTCCATAGTTTGCCAATCATGCATAGTACACCTATGTTATTACAGAAAATGTATGCCAGTAATAACTAAAGGGTGTTATTACAGCTTCTCTACATCTCTTCAAAGCCTTTTCTCAGACATATATCACAATGTATTAATTTTAGTTTATTGTAAGAAATAATGATCAGAGCATGTACTGAGGTTCTGCACAAGCTTCCAAGTAATTCCCAAGTGTCTTATATAGTGAATTACATGCCTGTAATAACTAAGCTTTGTTATTACAGCTTAGTTTATCACTGAAATGCCTTGTCTCATTGATTTACCAGGGTTGATAAAAAATGCATTAATTGAATTGTTAAATTAATTATCAAGGTTATGTATAAAGTTACTGCGCAAAGTTTCAAGAATTCCCAAGTGCCCACTAAAATTAAAAATATTAATGATATATTCAACTAATAACAAACATATGTTACTACAGATTAAGAAAAAAAGAGTAGACAACTCCTGAAAGTATCTGTAATAACACGAGTATGCTATGTTTCTCTAATAACTTATTTAAGTTACACCCTTGATTGATAGACAATGTGACAACTACCCATCAAGACAAAAGGACAAAGCTGTGAACAATTACAGAACTGTCTACAATTGCATTTGTAAACTAAATGTACAAAAACATTGCATTTTTTGGGATTTACATTCTGAAAATGTCTGACAGATCAGACATAAAAAAAGAATAAAGTATTTGCCTTTGTTTATTTAAATACTGAAAACTCTAACTTATTAATCAGATATATGAAAAAGTCAAAGTTTTCTTGAAAACTAGCATGATCTAACAGACTTTTCATTTATCTACTTTGAAATGCACAATGAAAGCGAACTCATATAAAAATTATTATAAAAATGAAAACACAAGAATCTATAAATGTCAAAAAAAAATTGCACTTTTTGGGATGATAATTATAAACTGAATCAAGTTCTAAAATGAAACAAAATTACTGAAATGTAAGCTTCATAACAAAACAAATATGACTTTTTAATTTCTAGCCTAAAATACAGTTTTAGATTGATTGTTGTTTGTTTAATGTTCAGTGGCAAATACTTCATTTACATTCAGAAAGAAAGCAGACTATATTTGCGATTGCAAGCAATAGTGAATGGCACCCTGGTCCGCCCATTGCCACAGTCCCGGCAGCTATTTTGAAAATTCCAAAGTCAAACAGGGCATCGACACATACTAGTTAACATTTATATTAAGTTTCAGTAAGTTTGGACCATTTTGAAAAATTTTCATATTTTGCTGTTTCCATGGCAATGGCAGCCATTTTGAAAATTCCAGAGTCAAACATTAACTCTACCAATGCCAATTGTTATTTCTGTAAAGTTTCATAAACTTTAGAGCATTTTGAAATTTTTCGACATTTTAGCTGTTGCCATGGTTATGGCGACCAATTACATATTCTCAAAGACAGATTCCACATTGACACTTAATATGCAACGTTTCAATGAAGTTTCCCTGGGATTACTCCACCATATTATGCTTAAAATTGCTACTTTAATGATTTTCCCATAATGTTCAATGTAATACAATTCCCAAGTTTCCATAGCAAAGGCAGCCATTTTGAAAGTTCTTAATACTGATTTTCAATCTAGGCATAACAGGCAACATTTCCATAAAGTTTCATTAGGTTGGGCCTAAAAATAAAAGATTTAGAATTTTCAAAAATTTTCCATTTTTGCTGTTTCCATGGAAACGGTGGCCATCTTGCACATTCCAAAGTCAGGTGCACAACTTCACTTGGCGGTCCACATTAAGGTAATCTTCCATCAACATTTGTCCATTCATATCCAAGAACCAGCCCGGACAAAATGTGTGGAAGAAAAAAAAAAAGAAAAAAAAAAAGAAACGAACAATAACAAGATGTCACCCGAACTCCATTCAGGGTGCCATAATTAACAATAAATCTAATAGATAAGTTCTGCAAAGGGGGTTGACATGAATGATGTCACTGAAAAATGAGGGTATATAGGAGAAGAACACAAATTTTGCCTTTCAACTGGCCAACTTTTAGACCCCTTAAAAAGTTTTCCTTAATGTGGAAAGAGTGTAACATTCTACTAACATATATATATATATATCATTAGTATGAACATCCCTATTCTGATTGGACATGGCCTGGCTTTCATTAATTAAGAGCAACCAATCAGACATCCCCTCATTAGCACAAGTTTTTTTGCCAGACAAGATTCAGGGATGACCATATATGTATACTCCAGTCAACAACGAAATTAAATTTGTCAGAACATTTTAACAACTATAGGTTGCATTTCTGTAAATATTGACAATGCAATTTCCCATAGGAACTCCTTTTACGGCTAAAACTGCACCACTTTTACTATGAAGTTTTGAAAAAAAATCATATCCTAGAATGGAAAGTTAATATGCACTACAATTTTTTTCAAAGGTCAAAATATAGGGCTGTGCGGCATATTTTCAACGTTTATATGCCCCGAACTTCTAAGAGTTTAAACTAACACTAAATTTCTTAACTATCCCTACCTTGACTGTAGGATTACCACAGATTTCAATATAAACAATATGCATATGTATATTTACTGGTAACATTCCCAAGTTATGTCTCTATGAGATGAAACATAGAGATCATAACTGGGAACCAGTATGTAAACAAAATTAATTATCTATGAATATTCTATATTTCCCCAAAAGAGGCGTGGTTTTAGGAAACAGCTGTATTTACAAAGTGCAACTTTACCAAAATTTCGAAATTTTTACTCAATTTTTCTATAAAAAAAACAATCACAGTAACCTATGTTTAATATGTTGTGATTTTATTACATCCAGCCATCTCTCAAAATCACAAAAATCACAATACAATGTAAAAACTATATATTGACTCCATTTATATGTGTTTTGTGTTTTAACATGTTGTTATATGTATAAAATTAATTGTATTACTTTACAGGAGATACTTCTTTACATCAGAAAAGATAGGTGCTCTTGTCTGTGTGAAAAATCTGAACAACAGAGTATGTATAATTATATTAGTAATTAAAGGATATAAAAAAAGGTTGCTAACAGCCGTTAACAATAAAACAATTTGTGTTCCTATCAAATGACAACCTGGTACTATTGGACAAAGGACCAACTTAGATATAAGGACAGTTCATTTGAAGTCTCATCATGATGTGAAACTGTATTTTTATACAAATGCAAGACAGTTTATGTTATCAACTCTATTAAATTATTCTTATAACTGAAAATAACTGTTTATATCACACAAATAAAAAACTGAGATGTTCTATCTAGTATTCATCCTTAAAAGAGCTACATTTGTTTAAAGACCATTCATTAAAAATTCTGAAAAGACTTTAGTGTATTGTTTTGTTAACACTGATAAAGTCTAGTAGCTACAGTTAAGTGCCAATCTGCCTAAGAATCAGGCAGTGGTGAAAACATGACAAACAAAAACCCACTCAAGTTTACATTAATTTTTGTTCAAAATGTATAATGGTGCACGAATATAACATTCGTTTCCTTGTCCTGTTCTGGTAATTCAAGATATAATTAGGTTGAAATGCACAAGAAATGAAAAATTAAGGGGAGCTTACTCCGTAATTTGCTATCATTCTAACCAAAATTTATCTAGAGACTTCTCGAATTACCAGACATGCAGAAACGAAAGACCTACCATTTCTAACTCAGGATGAGGGTAACTTCAAAATAGGATGGTTAGGTCGGTGGGTTTTTTTCAGCCATGTTTTGATTTTTTTCAAAATTGCCTGATTCTTACAAAGACTGGCACTTAATATCCTTAGATGATCATATTTAAAGCCAGTTATAAATACAATAACACACTATATGAATATACACCAAATACAACAACCAACTATGTGCGACTTCCTTCTTTCAGACAAAGAACCAAGATACATAAAACCATACACACTGGGACAAGATGTTTTCCAATTACATCATCAGATTAACCTAACGTCAGAAACTCATGAGAGTATTCATGGATTTGTATCAGATATAGAAATGATGGATGATGGTAGACTGGTGATTTGCTTACCTGACCAGAAGAGACTCCTGATCTGTAATACAGATGGATCACAGGTAGATAGTATAGATCTACAGGGTGGACCATTGTATCTTACAGCAGTCAACAACTCTACAGTAGCTGTTACACTGTATGATAGTGGGCGTATAGAGATGTATGACATAAACAATAAACTCAAACTTAAATCAATATCAGTACCTGGAATGTGGTGGTGGGGGAGTGGCATTACAACTATAAACAACAAGTTAGTTGTACATGGTGACAACAGCCTATTGATCATAGATCATCAGACAGGAGTGGTGATACAGAAATTACAGACTAGCTGTTTTCTTGACAGGTTACATGGTTCTGGTGACAGAATATTCTACTGGGTTAACTACCAGTACATCAACAAGCTGTACTGGTACAGTTACACTGATGCCAGACATCATACCCTAACATTACCATCACCACCCAGGAGGATGACTACACTACAAGATGGCAGTCTGTATGTAAAGTGTGAGGATGGATCACTACAACATGTGTCATCTGATGGTGAAGAGTATAAAACTGTTACAACAAAGGGACTTCAAAAAATTGATTGTTTGACATATAATCTTAAGCAAAGACAAATGGTTACAAAGTCTATGGACAAGACAATATTTGATGTCTTCTGTGATTAATTATACAGTCTATGTTATACAAGGAATTTTAACATTTCCATAACATGTTTTATTGAAACAATATAGTATTCGGCTTTGAATGAACAAAACACACAGACCCTTTTATTCAAGTGTATGTGAAAATAAAATGTTGGCATGTCATTTACAATAACTGAAACCAATTGATATACATTCAGAATTTTCTTATTGTTACGGTCAAGTCCTATACCTACTCAGAAATATGATATTCAGAACTACTTATTTGAGTGTTTTTATTAATTCATATAATAATTATTATCTTAAATGAGCTAACAAGTAATTAATGTTGGTTGGTCATTTGTTTTTATCTACAATTTATCAATTAACTTTATATTGTAAAATAGGTGATGTAAGTTGTTTTATTACTTCATATGCTTTATGTTTGTACTAGACATTTCATTTTTTATGCATACCAAAGGTTTTATGTGAAGAAATGTTCTGCTTTTGTCTTGCCTTGACAGAGTTAAAAAGTGAGACATAGGTATGCTGTGTCTGGCGGCGGCGTCAACACTGTATTAGTTTGTGATTAGGTCAGTTTATGGGGAACCACTAGGTGGTAGGTCAATAATATTTGGTATACAGTTGTATTAGCATTGGTACATCTCATTTCCATGGAGATTATTTGGCCCCGCCCCCTCAGTCATAGTCTATTGACTTCGAAACTTTTGCTTAGTTTACATGTCTTAGTTTGTGTTTAGGTCAGTTTATGGGGAACTATATGTGGTAGGTCAATGATATTTGGTATGCAGTTGTATCATTGTATTAGCATTGGCACATCTCATTTCCATGGAGACTATTTGGCCCTGCCCCCTCAGTCATGGTCCATTGACTTTGAAAACTTTTGCTTAGTATACATGTATTAGTTTGTGATTAGGTAAGTTTATGGGGAACCATTAGTGATAGGTCAATATATTTGGTATGTAGTTGTATTAGTATTTGGCACATATGAGCCATACCTGTCAACCCTCCCGTTTTGAGCGGGAGTCTCCCTCGCAAACGACGAAATTCTGGAAATCTCCCGCGCGGAAGTATAGAATCTCCCACTTTCGGATATTCTGGAATAACCCACGTTCGTAATTCTCTGACTTTTTCATTACTTTCAATATAAATAAACAAACAATCGGCGATCATTTGAAAACTTTGGTCAGTAGTTTTTATGTTCGATGTATAAAACTCATTTCTGCTATGTCAACTCCAACAAGATAGAAGTCTTTGTCTGGACCAAGTGGCAGTGTAAAAAAACAGAAAAATATAACTGCAAATCAAAATGTCAAGCAGATTTGAATGAAAGATTTTCAATTTTTACGACCAAGTTCACATGGCAATGAATCTTTTTGCACATCATGTACAATCAACTTTTCGATTTCTTCTGGTGGTCTGTTCAATGTTTGAAAGCATGCTCAGTGTGAGGCTCACAATAAAATCAAAATATGGAATGATCGAAAAAAAAGATGGCCGCCAGTGTAGTTGTGAGCTAAACTAGCTCTGCAGTTTTGGCAGTTTTTATAGTGATTTTTGATATTTTCATGAGATAAAATTTATACCAGAGTGTTCAACTTATGAAATACAACCTGGATTTGGGCTTATTTATGGACATAGTTTCAATTTGTGAAAGATACAGTTTGTAGAAACTTTTTTCTATAGTGAAAACATTTTTCAGTGATTACTATTCAGTGTATTGAAAGTGCAAACTTAAACATGCCACCACCTCTGGCCAATAAGATAAACACCAAGGATAATAAGGACAATAAGGAAATTAAGAACAAAGAAGGAAATAAAACAGTTCAGTCTTTATTAGCACCAAAGAAAGATCAACAAATAGCTAATCAAGGAAATCCACCACCTAAGCGTGACAAAAGAACTTTCTCAGATGTGTCAGAGGAGAGCCTAGAGGGTATTGATTTAATGAGTATTCATTCAGATTTAAAAGATATCAAAAAAAGCCTTCAAGATACTGTTAAAAAATCTGACCTGGACAATCTTGTCAAACAAAAGGACTTAAAAGAACTTGTGACAACCATTGTAAGTAAGCTTTTGTCTACACTGAAGGAGTCAATCACTGAGGAATTTAACACCAAACTAAGGGAAAGAACTGGAAAGTTGAAAGATGAGATAGATTCTCTTAATATAGACAATGAGAACTTCAAAGAGAGACTTAGAACTAAAGATAGGCAAATAGAAGAGCTTCAGGAAAAAGTGGCAGATTGCAACCTTAGGTCCATAGATGCACTTAAATCTGCAAATTATAATGAACAGTACTCCAGGAAACATAATATAAGAATGGTGAATTTTCCAGAAAAGAGAAATGAGAACTTACGAGATGTTTTCGTAAAAATTGTGAAGAAAGACTTAAATGTTGAGATAGAACCATCAGATGTCATAGCAATACATCGAATCCCAGGAAAAGAAGGTAACATCAAACCTGTGATAGCAAAAGTCTGTAACACTGAAATAAAAATCAAGATAATGAGAAATAAGAATGGGTTGAAGAATGACATTAAATTTCATGACGATATAACCCAAAGAAATCTTGGACTATTAGCTAGACTAAACAGGAACGAGATGCTAAACAATGCCTGGTTCTACAACTGTAGTGTATATGGTAAATTGAAGGACAGTGAGTACAGAATCAAATTTGATCTTTATGACAATATAGATGAAAAAATTAAAAAAAAACTTTCAAGTATGTAAACTTTCAAGTATGTAAATATTTTCTACCTTATTAATTGTGGTAATTTTTTCGTTTGTTTGTTTGTTCATAAATGGGAGGTAACTCTATATTACTAGAATGTTTTATAATATGGAGTTGAAAGAAATTTTCACTCATAACTTTCTTAAAGAAAAAATGGTCAAAGATTTGCTTAGATTTGAATAAAACAATTTAACTTTATTATTTGACTAATTCTCAATTTTCAAAAACTTTTTTTTTTTTTTTTTTTTTTTTACCATAAAATCATTTTCAACACTTGAAATTTATATTAATATTGAAAAAAGAAAATATTATACTAGGTTCTCATTTCTGTTAATTTAAAATGAAAATAAATCATTTAACACCAAATTATCAGAATAAATAATATGTTATTTATCATATGAAGCCAATCTGTAAAAAGTATCTGATGTGTATTAAATATTGTTTCAAGCGCCATCTTTTGTGTGTATTTGTGATGTATAAATGTGCTGTTAGTATGGGTATGCATTTTTATTTTCAGCATTGTAAAACTGCTTTGCTTTTTTACTGTCTGATTGAACATATTACCTAATGAGTATTGATAATAATATTATAGTCTTATCTATGAATGTAAGGGGCATATTTTCAAGCAAGAAAAAAAGATTAGATATTTTTGATTGGGTAAGAGGTAAACATGTATCTATTGTTTGTTTTCAAGAGACTCACAGTAATGAGGATATTGAGAAACTTTGGCAAGATGAATGGGGTAATACATGCATTTTCAGTCACTGCAACAATAAAAGTGCTGGTGTTAGTGTGATGTTTAACAAGGGTCTTGATTTTAAGATTCATGATTCTAAGATAGACCAGAAAGGTCGTTTTATTGTTTTAGACTTATCATTATATGAACAAAGGTTAACCTTTGTCACTGTTTATGGATTTAATACTGATGAACCATCATTGTTTAGTGATATTTTACGCAACATCTCTTGCTATACTAATACTAGTATCTTAATGTGTGGTGACTGGAATGTTGTACAAGATTTTCAAATGGATACTTATAATATTCTGCACAATAGAAATTTGAACTCTCGTAATAAGATTGAAGAAATTTCACATACTTTTGAACTTTTGGATCCATGGAGAACCTGTCATCCAGATGACAAAAAATTTACATGGCGTCAAACCTCTCCTATCAAGCAGAGTCGACTAGATTATTTTTTAGTGAGTGAAGACTTATTTTCACTTATGAAAAATACAAAAATTACACCTGGATACAAAACCGATCACTCAGCCATTGTTTTCACATTTTCTGCCAGTCTTGATAAAAGGGGTAAGGGATATTGGAAGTTTAATTCACAGTTGTTGAGAGATACTGAATATGTTGAAAAGGTAAAGATGTGTATTAAGGATACTGTTTCTGAGTTCTATCTTTCAGACAGTATAGATGACCTATTCCATGTACAATTTACTTGTAACGATCAATTTTTTCTTGAAGTACTGAAGATGAAAATCCGATCCTTGTCCATTACACACAGTATATCTAAATCAAAAGAAGAAAAAAAAGCCACTCTGAAACTTGAAGAAGACATACAAAATTTAGATATTATTATGAATACAGCCCCTACTGAAGCTGTACAGACCACTTTAAATGATAAAAAAGTGGAATTAGAATCCATGAGAGAGCAGAAGATAGAGGGTTTACTATTACGGTCCCGGGCAAACTGGCATGAAAATGGTGAAAAATGTTCCCAATATTTTTTAAAATTAGAAAAGAGAAATTTTATAAAGAAGACAATGGTTGAAATGATTGGTGATCAGGGTAATCATATATCTGACCAATCCACGATTCTCTCAGAACAACATAATTTTTATAAAAATTTGTATTCAAAGAGAAAAATTGATTGTTCAAGTGAAAGTTTTTTTTCTCACGATGTTGCCCTTACACAGGAACAACATGACCTGTGTGAGGGTAACTTGACATATGAGGAATGTGCTATAGCATTGAGTAAGATGAAAAATGGAAAATCCCCAGGAAGCGATGGATTTACTGTCGATTTTTTCAAATTCTTTTGGAGAGATCTTGGACCATTTGTTTATCGATCATTATTCTATGGATATGGGTCTGGTCTTTTTTCAGATTTTCAATATCAAAGTGTCATAACTTGTATACCAAAAGAAGGAAAAGATAGGCGATATATTAGTAATTGGCGACCTATCAGCCTATTAAATACAGACATTAAAATAGCTTCTGCAGCTATAGCAAACAGAGTCAAGTCTGTATTACCATTTATTATTAGTGACACTCAAAAGGGATTTATCAAGGGGAGGTTCATTGGGGAGAATACTAGATTATTGTATGATTTGATGCATTATCTTGAATATCACAACATGAGCGCCTTACTTTTATTGGTTGATTTTGAAAAGGCATTTGACTCTGTTGACTGGGTCTTTTTACAAAAAGCATTAAAAAGTTTTAATTTTGGTCCTTCAATGTGCAGATGGTTCGAGACTCTCTACAAAAGTGCTAAAAGTTGTGTAATCAACAATGGCAATCTATCAAATTTTTTCAATCTTGAGAGAGGTTGTAGACAAGGGGACCCGCTCTCCCCTTATTTGTTTGTTATTGGTGTAGAGTTATTATCTTTGAAACTTAAGTCAAACCCCAAAATTCATGGTATCCTCATCAATGAAAAACAAACACTATTAAGTCAGTATGCAGATGATACTTTTCTAACTTTAGATGGTAGTGAGACATCACTACAAGAAAGCCTCAATTGTTTTGATTCTTTCTATATGTTATCTGGATTAAAAATGAACAAATCAAAGACAAGAGCTGTCTGGATTGGTAACAAAAAATATTCTGATCAAATATTGTGTCCTAATTACAATCTTATGTGGTCACACACAAACTTTAAACTTTTAGGAATAGATTTTTCGCTTGATTTAAAATGTATTCTTGATATTAATTTTAGAAAAAAGATCAAAGAGGTTTCAGCTATACTAAAAAGCTGGCAACATAGAAAATTAACATTACTAGGTAAAATTACTGTAATTAAGACTCTGGCATTACCGAGACTGATTCATTTGTTGACTGCCCTGCCAAATTTACCTCACTCACAATTAAATGAGCTGAGTGCTATGTTTTTTAATTTCATTTGGAATGGTAAGACTGATAGAGTCAAGCGTAGTACTCTTATTGCAGATTTTTCACAGGGAGGATTAAATATGGTGCATTTGCAGTCTTTCTGTACATATCTTAAATTATCTTGGGTAAAGAGATTTTTATCAAATCCAGATGGTACTTGGCAGAATTTATTACTAGCAGAACTAAAACAGTTAGGTGGTGACAGAGTCTTTACATTACAAAAGGATAAGATTAAAGAAGTTTCTAATTGCTTAAAAAATCCATTTTGGAAAGACATATTTGATTGTCTACACATGGCAAAGCCCTATACAAAGTTATGTGTTCCAGAAATTTTGTCATTGGATATTCTTAACTTTATACCAATATCTGAATATCCTGTATATATGAAATGGAAGTTATATGGCATACAGTTTATAAGGGACATTGTAGATAGTCAAAGTAAATCACTATTAACATTTCAACAAGTAAGACAAAAACTTAATTTGGAAAATTTTTTGAAATACTATAGTTTATTATCTAACATTCCAAAATATATCAAAAAATACATCAAAGATTATTGTGATTTGAACTTAGAAAATTTTGTTCCTTTTGATGCATTTTCTAAAAGGATCTTGGA